TAAGCAGTGGTATCAACGCAGAGTACTAAAATTCTTGGGCATGACTGTATTTTGGCAATTTTGCTTCGGGGCTCAAAATTTCATCATAGGAAAGTTGATAAAGTTGATTTGCCAAGCATCAGTAAGCACTAGAAGGAGCAAGAAAAGTACTTCTAGATGATGGTTATGACAGTGCCATAAGTGCAAAACCCCAAGAAAATAGCTGCGCTAAAACAAGGCAACTGAAAATCAGACAGAACTTTTGAATCAGCCTACTACAAAGAGGAAGACTTCTTCTATCTGATAAAATCAGAAAGATTGTGACGATAACGATAAGCTACGAATTTTCAAAGTGAAACGGCAGAACCTTTGGACAACCTAGTATATCAGAAATGCATCTTTTTCTCGTGTACATAATTTTTATGGACCTTAACCTTTATCCTACACGCATCAGCTTGTATCTCATTATATTTTGCAACAAGATGTTCTTTGATTCGTTACTGCTAATTTTGTAGTTTGAGCTTCATATCCAACTTTGACAATGCTTTCCATCGACGACAGTAATAAGGAATTTCTTCCACCACCCACTCTGAACATTCTCAGCTCTTCATCCACTTTATCCGCTTGTAATCAAACGACAATATATGTCATTGCAATATATTAGGTTGTCTCATAATTAATGCACGTTTTTATTTGCTTGCTTTAACAAAGCAACCAGACTCAACCTACAAAGGATAAGGGGTACTGTTCGATAGAGCAAAGCAAGCTTTACAAAATGGCACTCATGTCCTTGCGCCGTGCTCGATCCACGGAGAGTTCGAACTCAAAATCTAAAGATTTCCAAATGCCCAAAAAATCGAAAAAAATCAGATCTTCGTCCATATAATTTCTACGGACCTCCCACTCGCTCACATCAATACCATCGATATCCGATATCCATATGTGCGATTGCCGTATCTTTTCCTTGACTAGAAACTGAGAAAACGAAAATTTCCCTGATTTTCTCAAAGCAATGCTGAGCCGTTTTTGCATATGTAGTTCTATACTACAAGCCTAGGTAAGTATAACTGTAGGTTTTCAGCCCATTCCAAGCGGTAGTTTTCGAAAAATAACAAATTCAGATTTTTCGTTTCAGTTTCAGTGCTAAAATCGACATTTCTCGAAAACTACCGCTTGGAATGGGCTGAAAACCTACAGTTATACTTACCTAGGCTTGTAGTATAGAACTACATATGCAAAAACGGCTCAGCATTGCTTTGAAAAAATCAGGGAAATTTTCGTTTTCTCAGTTTCTAGTCAACCAAAAGATACGGCAATCGCACATATGGATATCAGATATCGATAGTATTGATGTGAGCGAGTGGGAGGTCCGTAGAAATTATTTGGAGAAAGATCTGATTTTTTTCGATTTTTGGGCATTTGGAAATCTTTAGATTTTGACTTCGAACTCTCCGTGGATCGAGCCTGGCGCAAAGTCATAAGTGCCATCTTGTAGAGCTTGCTTTGCTCTATCGAACAGTTCCCCTTACCCTTTGTTAGGTTGAGTCTGGTTGCTCTGTTAAAGTAAGCAAATAAAAACGTGCATTAATTATGAGACAACCTAATATTATAATTACCCTAATTTCACGCGTACAAGGCGCACCTTTTTCGATTTTTCGACTAAGCCCCTCAGCCGCTTTAACTTATCTCGGAAAGGATCCTTATGTCATACGATTCTCTTAAGCAATATAGCAAGGCACAGGGTCCTTTGGTTGCGAAGTTCTTTGGCGTATTGGGCTGGTCGATTCAAAAAAAATCCCTCGCGCCTTGTACGCGTGAAATTACGGTATGATATATTGTAATAATTATAATTATATTATTATAATTAATTATTATACTCAATTAATTATAATTATTATGGTAATCATATTATAATTATAATATCAATTACAATATACTGCCGTATGCATTGCTTTCCATCCAACGTCCCATATTCTACTCGCCATAGCCCTAGAATCAAAGCTATCTTGCTAAGCAGATGTGAGTTTCGTAATCAACAGTTCAGATAACCTCTATGAGAGAGTTTTTAAAGAACTTCGGGTTGTTTGATTTTTTCTCGTTCCACGCTCTGGAGCTCGCCGATGGATTTTGGTCAAAATATTGATGACCTTGTGTACGGAAACTTTCCTTATAGAGGTTTTTGTACACGCTCTTTACGAAAGTGGTCTTTGAGGATTACAGGGTTTTTTTGCGGAGATATGAGGTGAGAGAACTGTAACTGAATTACGAAAGTGCATAATTTTGCCCGCACTTCTCGCGTATCGGTCAGAAAACTTGCTTGCTTGCTTTTCTAATTCGAAGTTGCTAGAAACAGTGTTATCGAATTATTCATGACCCAGGCTCCAATTTATAAAAATCGCAGAGTTACGAGCCTACGAAAACACGTCCTCATAAATTTTGCGCAAAATGGAAAGATCGCATATTTGGTCCAAATTCCACCGTGAGTCTTGTATGGCACTCGCATTGCAGATAATATGTTCGCTTTGCCCAATGACTCCCACTGTATTGAATATCGTGCTTGCGTGTGCTTCAGCTGCTCAATTGAATATCAAAGCTGTTTCGTGGCTAGAGCTCAAACTACCAAATCTGATACAACAAGATCCATTAAGGATGTGAAAAGGTTTTATCTTGTTGTACAAGTACTCACGATGGAATATCGACGAAGTATGCGATATTTACATTATGGGCAAAATTCATGAGGACGTGTTTACGTAGGATCGTAACTCGGCGATTGTAACGGATTGGAGCCTGAGTGATGCACCATTCGATAGCAGTTCCTAGTAACTTTGACTTAGAGAAGCACGCAGGCAAGTTTTCTGGCAGACACGCGAGAATTGCGGGCAAAATTACGCACTTTCATGATTCAGTTACAGCTCCCTCACCTCATATCTCTGCAGAAAAAAACCTTGTAATCCTCAAAGACCACAATTTTCGTAAAGAGCGTGTCCGAAATCCTCTATAAGCGAAGTTTCCGTACAGTCCAAAATCACCAGCATTTTGACCAAAATCCATCCGCGAGCTTCAGAGCGTGGATCAAGAAAAAATCAGACAACCCGATCTTTGAAAACTCGCTCATAGAGGTTATCTGAACTGTTGATTACAAAACTCACATTTGCTTAGCAAGATAGCTTCGTATTCTAGGGTTATGGCGAGTAGAATATGGGACGACAAGATTTTTCCACAAATCGCCAGCCCCTCTATCTCCTTTGGAAAGAAGTCTGCGGCTGCTTTTTAGCGCTCCATAATCTACAAAGAAAGTGCTATCAAACGGTCTTTGCTGGAGTCTATTAGGGGCACTGCGCGCTGCTTCACACATTTGCGAAAAGACGTGCGCAGAAAGATTCAAACATACTGAAATCGGAGCATCAAGGACGTGCTGTATATCGAAAGATTGATGAGCTGAGCACGCCGCTTCTTTCGGATTAAAAATTTACTGATTCCGAAGGAAGTTATGGCACTAGAATAAAACTCGTAACATTTTCAGAATTCACAAACTCTTTCTCTCTGTTTTGGAAAGAAGTCTGAGGCAATTCTTTAGCGCACGATAATCTACAAAAAAGTACTATCGAATAATATTCAGTGGAATCTTCCATGTGGGATAGGCGCTGCTTCACCTTTGCAAAAGGACCCCCGCAGAAGAATTTGGAAAAACTGGAAACGGAATATCGAAGACATCGTACCCCACTTCCAATATATCAGAAGATGTTCCGTGCCGAGCTGAATCGAATGGTGGCTTTGGATTCAGAATTTGTCCACTCTGAATCGAGATATGCGACGCGATGGCGATGTCCGCACATTAGACGACCGTCACATAACTCACACGACCGTCGCATGACTCACGCGACGGTCGCCTGAGTCTAAATCCATTCGCGTCTTTTTTTTCAAAAAAATGTGAGCGGTATGTATAATGGTGAGAGGCAACTGGCGACTTACTAACTGATTACAACCATAACAAAGATTAACAGCTTTACAAAAGGTGTTTAAAGGATAATGAGAGCTCCTTACATGAAATTACATTTATTGGGACACTCTGGTTATCTTTCCCGAAATGCTATCATTTTTGATACTTCATTATATCAGGTTGTCCCGAACGTTCTGTCATATTTGAAAACTTGTAACTTTTTGCAATTTTGATGAATTTGCTTCTTTTTTATTTCATTGGAAGGGAGAAGTCTTCTTTTTTGTAGCAGTGCTTCGATGAGTTTCCACTATACTTCACTGCAGAGATAAAATGAAAAAAGAAGACTACTTAAGCATGAGCATTTTAAGATAGGTCGCCAAAAATCTGAAACGCTGCAGAAGAATCTGAAATTGCTAGTAAATAAGTTTTATGAACTGTTCTCTGCACTTGAGAAAAAAACCTATGTTGTTTGTGTGAAAAGTTATAATTTTCGAGCTTACAATAGAAAACGCTAAAATTGATCAGTGTCACTTTTCTCAAAAAATACAACTTTTCATTGAAACGTCCAAACAGCAATTTTTTTATGCAAAGAGTAGGTCATAAAACTTACATACTGACAATCCCGATTTTTCTGCAGCGTTCCAGACTTGGCGACCTAACTTAAAATGCAAAGCCGAAGTGGTCTTCTTCTTCCTTTTTTTATCTCTACAATGAAACTGTAGCTGAGCTCATTGAGATAGCCCTACAAAGGCAGATCCGTTGAGGCAGCAAAAAGTTACAAATTTTCAAAAATGAAACGATAGAATTTTCGGGACAACACAATGATGGTGTATGTAAAAGAAAACAACTTCTGTTAGATGACAGCACAAAAAAAATTTCTGAAGATCTCAGATCAAAAGCATCAAAGATCATTGATTAAGAAATAATGCAACACAGTAGTAGTGATTAAAAATGAATGAAAGTAAGCAGCCTCTACAAGTACAAGTTGTCAAATCCACTCATCCCATCTATGTTTCAGAATGTGCCAACGAAAACAATAATTCACGCACTATTGCATTGCTCATGGAAAATTTCGATAGTATTGTTGATGGAACCATGAAATCAGCTGGTCTAAAATTGGATTTAATTGGCTTAATGATAATTGTCAAGTGCAGTTTTTGCTTTTACAAATAAGGTCAGAAGCTAATTGCGGTGTTAGCTTGCAAATAATGTAAGAGCCTTCAGCTTGGATAATTACGCCACTTAAACAATGTGCTTCACTAAATTTATTCTTTTCCGCTGTTGATAATACATTGCGTTGCAAGGGCAGCAGATTTTCGTCGAATTGTCTTGGGTTGAACGAAATGTGAGGGCATTATGTTTGATACAGACAATCCATGAACGACTAAACGGTAGAACCATAGAGGCAATGTTGTTGCTGAGTATTGTGTAGCGACATTTTGCAGTGAAATACAATGCAAAATCATTGCAAGCTCCACAAATCTATCTCAATGGAGGAGCACTCATCGCTTCAATACATCCATTCCTAATCTTGTCTTTATTCCTTTTCTATTCATTTGAAGAATATATAAAGCAGCTGAAATTCAGCAAACCCATCCTCAAATGGTGTCGCTGGCTAGTGTAAGTTGGTTATAGATACCATAGTGTTGAATTCAACTAGCCTTTCGTCCAGGTAATCTTCCTTCTTGGAGTAATCTTTGTCCATGAAGTATGCGGAGGTCCAACAACAGAGCAGCTTTTTCGTCGGAAGTGGTACGATCCTGACAGCAATCTTACGGATCCCACACTGAGGTTCAAACCTGGATCTGAATCTGGACGCAAACATCATGGATTAAGAAAACGTTCACTTTGGAGTAAATTGTGGGAACTTTTGAGTTCACTTGTTGGTGAACCTCTTACCGATCAAGAACGTTCCGAAAAACGTAAGGAGTTGGAAAGAAGGCTGCACAACATCAGCGAGTACGGTGAAGGATATGTTGATTTTGGTGATGGCTTTTATGCGGGCCATCACCCCCACGATAACTTTTATTACGAATATGAGCTGAGATAAAATCAAAACTTTTTGAATAAAAATTGTGATGTTCACTTGTATTTACTTCTGCAATTAGAAAATTTTTCAAAACTTCTTCAAGCTGTGCTACATAAGACAAATGCGTTTCATTGTCCAAGCAGTGCTTTAATGGTTAAAGGCAACGTTTTTACATATAAAGTGTCCTCTAATAATCTGAAGCAAACACATGGAGAAGGAATGGTCGGAAGCACATGAAAGGAAGGTAAAAAAGGCATTGAATTAAATCTTCTGAAATTAAATCATGTTAGTTGGGTTCGCTTCGGTTTTTTGAAAATAGAGTTGAGATTGTGACCAAGATGTTGGAAAATTAGTAGGTTGATATAGAAAAAAAACGAGGTTAAGTATATACGATCTAACCAAGAATGAATGCAATTCTTCGTAATTTTTGCAGTCCATCACTCAAAGTTTGAAAATGCAACAGAAGCATCATGTCTAGCGTCTGTAAATCTTGCGATTAGGGACTGTGATTCTCGCCAAATGCAGGGTTATTTGAACAGCATTACATGATCGTTTCTTCCGGAAACTTCGTCAGCTTTTAGTGTGGCGATGGCCTTATTGTTACAGCTCCTCTACCTAAGAAACATCTTCCTCCATAAGGTCGACAAGTAACTGCAACTACACAGCTGGGCTCGCAAGAAGCAGTCAGACTCCACATTGATCCTCCAATTATATTCAGTTTTATATACGATGCGGAAAGCTGTACGATTGTATAACCTTTGGTTCAACTGGCTTGGCGGCTGGAAGGCGGGGCTTTGTGACCTAATTAAGACCGCTCGCACCCGTGACGCAGTCTGCGCCTCTCCTGCGCGCTTCTGATCATTACCTAGCCTTAGGTCACGAAGCCCCTCCTTTCAGCCGCCGAGCCAGTTGAATCAAAGAGTACATAGATTTATCATATCAAAAATTTAGCTGGCAAGATTTATTAGTCGGTGCGGATGTTCTTTCCTTTCTTTGCGCCGACCCCAAATCCCGTTTAGTTACATCAATGTTATTTTCCAAGCATCATATCATGCATAACTTCCTCTTTTCGGCAGCTACGTTCTCGCTGCAATCTGCTAACGAGCGCTGAGATAACTTCCAAAGCTTACGACATTTGTACCACGCCTGATTTAAGCTAATTTTCGGAATACTCATTTAAGACTTTCAAATGTGCTTTGAAAGCCAAGTGATAAAGCAATCTTTCTGCAGATCAATGCGTTCTAGAACCATTGAGATATAAATTTTGAAGTGTCCAAATTTCCTGATCGCTCTAATCTAACCTTGTCAAACATAAAATGTTACACAGTTCAGGGGGCATTCAGTGCAATTTCTTCCATTTTTATAACAGTCATCATTTCGTCGCGATACATACCATTTTTGCATACAAAATCGCAGTAGCTATATTTCACAATCTACATATTTTGAAGCAGTTAACTCTAATTCAATGTTTGAAGTTATAAAAATAACAATCAAGTTTTAAAATCTCGATATTCTGAAAATTTTGCGATGTTTGGTGCAATTATATGTTGTGCTTTTTTTGAGAATTTAGTGCATTTGGAAAATTGTTCACTAAGTTTCTAGAAAGCATGCTAGAGAAACATATTAAGCTGCAAAAGTTGCGCTATCGGGGGCATTGTCAGAGCACTTTCAGAGCTAAGTAAGTCCAAACAATTTGCGAATAATGGACATTTTGAAAATGAGGGGTCGCAATCTTCGGCAATTATCTCCGTAATCATCGTAAGCTGCGTCGGAAACATAACGAATGGAAAGAGGAAGAAATTCTAAACTAAAATTCATTCTAATATGTTTGCTTATCTTCACTCTACGAGATTCGAAGGCGTTTAGAAAAAGGGAGAGCTTTTACACAAACCTAATAGGTATGTAATTTTACGTACAGGGTGGTCCACATGAAGTCCACACTCTACACGCAGACGATATTCGTAGCCTTGCAAAGACTGAATAAAATTGCGATTTTGTCTTTAATGTTAGGCAAATGAGAATTATATTCACAATCTTCCAACCGCTGACTGGTAACCGCTTTTGGCTTCTGTGGAAGTGATTTTCTTCAGAAAATTTTTTACGATGCGCGCATTGTTTTTGGCGGCGCTTCTTCCAAGGCTCTCGCCGGATCTTTTCTATATCGCATATCGAATGAAGCAGGACTCGAAAAGATGTTGTTTGCTTGTTGTTTTCAGGAGTATTAGGATAAAAATCTATGAGAATGTAATATTAAAATCTAGAGGATGAATATTTGGACTTATTACATAGTTCAAATGTGGTCCGCCTAAAATTTGAAAGTGTCGCAGAAAATTCGTTTCCGGTCCATTTCGTGCCATTTTTTGGTGATGGCAATCTTTTCCATATCTTTTTGTCTCATTGTGGCCATTCCTGGGTTCGATTCTTATTAGCTTGGCTAAAAAATAATTTTGTTTCGGCGTAAAATTCTTCACAAAAACTTTCCTAGCTGTTTTTTATCCATGGTAAGGAAGAAAGGAAGTAGTTCAAAGTTGCTTCTATCACATATCAAATATTCAAGATTCTCAACCATCAGTTAGGTACCTAGAGTCATGCCTCAACATGTATAGCAATTCTAAACGCTCAATTCTGCAACTTTCAAAGGCAGTGGCTCGGCAAATCTCAACCTAGTCAAATTTGCGCTTAGCTGTTTTTCAATACGCTGATCCCGAAAATCCACTTTTGAACGCTTGAAAACGGCGAAATGAGCTAATGCCCTTCCCCTTGATATTGGACGAGTGGAGCAAGGCCGATGACGCTAAATCTTGGCAGGACCCAATGGTTATAGCGTTGCTGCGGGCGGCGTCCAATAATGTTGGATTTTGCCGATCCACTGCCTCTAAGGTTCATTTTCATGCCGTTATGGATGTAGAGAGCAATTTGGTAGGTTTAGACCAGTGGCGTACCGAGGGGGGGGGGGCGCGCGCCCCCCCCCCCCCCCCCCCGAGAACGGCTCGCGAAATTTTTGAAAGTTACTTATATGGGTTATAAAATTGTGCAAATGACTTGTCTGTACTTGTAAATAATTAAAATAATTTTTAAAATTTTTTAAAAATTCATTTTAGCTTTATAAAAAAAATTTTTTCGGGGGCGTGGCTGACGCCACGCCCCCTTTTTCCAGATTTTAGGAATTGGGGACCCGCAAAATTTTGAGAAGCACCCCAAAAATTTTTTTGGAGTGCGTGGCTGTCGCCACGCACCTTCATTAGAAAAAAATTTTTGTCGCGCCCCCCCCCCCCGAGCCGAAATCCTGGGTACGCCACTGGTTTAGACAAGTCTTCCTTGCTTACCGAATGTAATTGTAATCTGCAATATCAAAATTCAATTTTCTTATATTAGGTTGTCCCAAAAGTTTTGTCGGTATTTTCATCGTCCACTAAAACCTACAGAACACCAATCCATAGACGTTCTAGGTAATATTTGTTATAAATTCTTATGCTCTTTCTTACTGCTATATTTGCTTTCTGATCTACCCTGTCCTTGCGATGTTATCGCCATGGCTTTTTGAGCAGCTCAACAGTAATGCCAAATATTTCCTGAATTATAAAAATTTTCCTCCTGCTATTTTCAAAGATCGCTAATAATTGTTATGTAGAGCAAATCTTCGGCTACATTGTAATTACTTTAGATTACATGGGCCACCTTTATCAAGTTCTAAATAATTATTTATTTGGGAAAAACCGCGGCTTTTTGATTACGTCTACCACGTGAAATTACCGAAAATTCCGAAAGCTGATTTTTCAAAGCGAATTAATCCTGATTATGTTGCATAAATAATGTTCATTAGCAATCACGTTTCGATTCGCGGAATTTCCAAAAGAATTCATGTTTTTGCCGCAGTTGCGTGTTTCATGACTTTGCCAAAAATCGAGACCTCTGAAAAAATAATTTTTTAAACAGCAGGTTAGAAGAATTTGAAAATATAGGCGTGTAGTCCAGAAATTATTCTATTTGCGCCATATATAATCGTTTCCAAAACTTTGGATTAAAATTTTTAAAAATTAGCCGATCTTTGAGCAGATAAAAATGACGTATGAAGAATTGTGACAATTATCAAAAAAAAGTGTACATAATTATGGCTAGAAAATGAAACCATAAGAAAGAGAAGGAAAAGTTGCATCGAATGCATGTTGAAAGTCATTCAGGTTTTTACTGTGCGTGGTCTTATAGCGGTTTGAAAAAACGGACAAAACCTTCGAGACCACCTAATATTTGCGCACCTAAGAAATTTGGGTTTTCTCATTTAGTTTCTGCTCAAACAACTTCAAAGATTCAATTCTCCTTGAAGTGCTCTTTTCAAAGACATTAAGTACGGGGCAAAAAATCGTCTGTAACATTATTTGTAAGAGCCGAAAACCAACCGAAATTATATTAGCCAACCTGATAGTTAGGTTTGATCTAGCTTCAATCTCAACTGCTGCCGTTTAGAAAACGCAAATCGCAGATTTTCTAGATTTTGAAAAATGTATCGGAAACGGATTTTGAAGGGCTATAGCCTTATAGGGTATATTCTTAGGCCAAAAGAAAAAATTCAGGACGCCATGTGGATTTTTGAGCAGGACCAGGCAGCACTAGCCAGCGAGAAAAAAGATTTTGCAGTGGTGTATAGTCGATTCAGGCATTGCAAAATGACGTTTCGCCTTGCAGCTCGCCTAGTCTTAGCCCCACAGATTCTCGCACTGGTTTACCTGGGAGCCAAAAACATGCTCGAGCAAGAAAGCAAGACCTAATTTACTTGTTTGTTAAAAAAAACTTATGAGAGTCTGTAAATATTTCTGCAGGAAGCATTGCACGCATTTCGAAAATTTTGGGAAGAGATTAGAGAATAAGTGCTTTTACCAGAGCCACACGATTCCGAATACAATATTAGTTTTCAGAATTATTGATTACTTATCGATTTTATCGGTTTTTATCAATTTTTTTTTTGCAGAGTTCACCTACGGGGCTGGGAGTTAGCACAGGGGGCAAGTGGAAATGGCGACTCC